GGAATGATAAGGGAACGCAGGGTCGGGACAAGGGACCGCGGGGGGAGTGGGAGTGAGACGGGAACGCAGGACAAAGGGGGAACGCAAGGGAAGGGGGGAAGGGGAATGGAGGGGGGGGAAGAAGAGAAAATTACAAATCCCGCAGCTCACTCTTTTGAAATTACATAAAGGGAAGGGAGTTCTGAGGTAAAAACAAATTAGCAGCGTTACAAATTTGAGAGACATCAGAAAGTGATACACCAATCATAGTTACAATGAATGGGGCAAAAATCTTTTCCACATTACAATTTAAGATAAATGGTACATAAACACATTCTGTATCAAGGATGAAAGCAGGATTCATGACGCGATGCTTGTGGTTTCCAAATTCTAGCAGAGCAGAAGCAGGCAGCGAACAGCGATGTGGTTTCTCCAATTTGATTGCGAAGTTGGCATAGCATAGTGGGCAGTAGAGAGGATGATCTTTCCTTCTATAAGATATAACTCAATCCAAGAAGTTATTTCCAAATTATCACAAGCAATGGGAAAAACTTGTATTGAAATAATAAGGGAACTTTGGGCAAGGTACATCTAGGAGATGGGATAAAGGGGTGAACCTGGGCGCCACTGTTTCAGGGGAAAGAAAACAGTGGAGCCCTGGTCCGGGTTTCCAGCTCCACTCTCTTTGAAGGGGGCCCCCCCCCCACAGCAAAGGGGAAAGCTCTCTTACAAAGGGAGGTCCTCTAACGGAGGGACCCCTCCGGCAATCCCTCCCATCAGAGGGGGAGCCAGAAGAAGGACTGAAGGATTGATCCAACCTCACCTCCCCCCAGTAGGGGCTGGCTCGCTGCAGGATGGTGCAGGGCCATTGGGGGATGGGTGGGGCTGGCGGGAAAACGTGGGCGGAAGAGAAGGGTCAAGGCGGGAAAATGGGGTCCCTGTAGCGTGGAACACCATCTTGGGAGGGGGTGCCGGGTGCACTGCATCTCACCCGGGGAGGCACGGCCAATGCCACCCCTAAGGGAGGATAACAGTGTCTGACAGGGCACTTGGGGCGGCTCAGCGCTGCCATACCCAAGGGAGAAGGTTTGGGGAAGTCTGTGGGGAAAAGGGAAGGGGGAGCTTCACAGAAGCCGAGGGGAAAATCTACAGGAGAGGGGCCCGACGTGGCTGGAAGCCGATGAAATGCGTGGATGTGAAGGGCCTCTCTTAAGATGTTAACAATTCTCCCATAGCTGACGTGTCGTCGCTTACAATTCTGTCCCATTGGTGTCCTTTAGACTCCCCCTGCCCCCATAACCCAGAACAGGGAGGAGAGGGTAGAAAAGGCAGCTTTCCGAGAAAGAGAAGGAGCTTTCCAGTATGAGTTACCCCAAAAAGACCGAGCGAGGTTGCGTTCTCCTTGGAAAAGAAAAAGCCTCCCGTCTGCCAGGGACATGCAAGCCTACAGCCCCCGTCTGGACGTGGACGGTGGTTAAAACGCAGAAAAGAAAAAAAGGTAGCCCAGCCGCCCGCCAGGGTCCCCACCCTGCTCTGACCCAACTTAACCTCCAGGCTCGGGCGGGGAAATCTCTATCTCTCTCCTCGGTTGTGGAAAATCGCGTTGAACTGAGAACGTATTCTTTTGCAGTTTGGCTCTCCCAGAAGCCTAGGTATTTCCGTTAACCAGAGTTCATCCCTGAAACTTTGGGTTCGGCCACTGTCAACCTCTGGTCCCCATTCGAATGCCATCCCCTGACGGGCCACTTTTCAAGCTCAGTCCATCGAGCCACTGCCAAACTGTCCTCTTTGTCCTTAGGTAAGTCTACCTGGCTCCCGGCCCCTGCAGTCCGGCTGCCCCCGCAGAGCAGCTGCTCCTGGGTGGGCTAGAGAGCACGCCGGCGAGGACGGAAGAGGGTCCCGGAGCTTCGAGTTTTTTTTCCGCCCGGCGAATCCACTCCTCTTAGCGTCTGCAGAGCTCTTGCGGCAGCAGAGTTCCTTTCTCTCTCCCCCCTTTCACAAATTGATGGAAATAGCCATCTTCTGCTACCATTTGTTGCCATGCAAGACCGGCTCCGGGCGGACGCCTGTGGGTACGGCAGGAGGAGGGGAGAGGTGGCAGCCGCTTTTCCCCTTCGGCTCTGCGAGGCTCAGTTCTAGCGCAGGAACAGACGAAATGGTGACACAGGGCTCGGGTGCAAACACATGTTTATTGTGTGAGCGTGTCCCCAAGACCCCGGGGCACCGAGCGGGGGTCGGTTATACCCCGTGCCGGGGGCGGGGGGGAACCTGAGCCGCGGCCAATGGAACGGGGGAGCAGGGGACAGGGGCAGAGAAACCCCGGAGACCGCGACGGGAAAGCCGCTGGGGGGGGTGGGGGGGCAGGGACAGCCCGCGTAGTGAGGGGAAAGGCGGGGGGCAGGGGACAGGGACTGGACCGCATGGTGACAGGGAGAGATAAGGGAACGCAGGATTGGGACAAGGGACCACGGTGGGAGGGGGAGTGAGAAGGGAACGCAGGACAAAGGGGGAATGCGAGGGAAGGGGGAATGGGGGGGGGGGGGAAGAGAAAATTACAAATCCCGCAGAGCTGACTAGAAAATAAGAGAATTCATGCTTTAAAAAAAACAAAAAACACTTCTTTCTTTTTTTTTTTTATGTCTACAGTTTAAATTAAGGTTCCATCCTTCCCTGAAAGCTGACCATTAAATGCAAGCTTTCTGTGTGCTAAGTATGTCAAACAACTGGAACACAGGAATAATCTGCCTATAAATAATAGTTACCCTACCCTTCCCAAGACCTTTAATTTGTGATCTTTAAAGATGTGTGACTGATACCAAGGATGGGGCTAGTTTAGTGACAGCTCTGAAACATTTATTTTCCCCAAGCAGAAGGTGAACATTTCAATAACTGCTTATAAAATGAGTGTTCATATAATTGGGACAGTCTGGCAACAAACAGGTAGGGTATACAGGCATGTTTGGTGCTGAAGATGAAGAAAAGGAGATGAAAGAAAGGCCAAGCCCTCCTGGTGAAAGAAACTTAAAGACCCTGTAGCCTCAGTGAACCTATTCCACAACACACTGAGCATAGTCCTAGTTTGAGCAGTGCCTTTTCCTGTTGGGAAGAATAGATAAATATGATTAAGAACCACAATAGTACAGCCAGGATGAATATAATGCCCCCTACTGGCTGGACAATAACCCTCACCTACAGAGGGATCCAAAGGTCAAATGGACTGTTCCATCTCACCCCCCAGAATGTATGGTTCACCCCACACCTGTAACCCTCCCCTGAAACATCAAGTGTCTGTAACCCCATTGGCCCAAGTCCTGTTCCAGCCCACCTTGAAGCCCCCTTGATAAAGGCTCTCCGGGGACCAGACGCCCTCTTGGATCTTCCCCTCTCCTCCTGGAACTTCCTCCAGGAGTCCCTGCTCCCCCCTTTGTCTCTCCCCTCCCCCATCACCTCGGGCCCAGCCACGTGCTGTGTCTAGCAGCTCGAGGCAGGGCCTCCCTGCATCCCAAATAAACCTCATCCCCCAAGAGCAACCAACAGAGATCTCGCCTATATTCACCCCAAATCCATCCGTGGAACCCATCAAAAGTCTTTACATTTTCCTTTGGGTTATTTTAACTCTCTGCTGTGAAGAATTTCTTCTGACATTTCTATCCTCTTTGAAAAGCATTTCTTAGCTGAATTTCGTTTTTACAAGTATCTGAGTTTTTTGTGAATTACATCACTGCTTACAGCTTTGCTGGACTTCAGAGGTTCTTTCGCAACCAAGGCAAGCACTCCTCAGCGTTGTACAAGCTGTAGAGCACAAACATGCATTGAACACTGCAACTCAACTGACAACTGTAGATTGATCCTGTGGGGTTTTGTTCAAGAAAAAGGAGAAAAGTACCAGAGATTCCTCTAATTGAAAAACAAGGGTCTTCCACTTGGACAGTGTTGTGACCCATCCACTGGGCAAAATCATCCCTTTGTTTTATAGATTTCATCCTCTGCTTTTCTTAACATACTCTTCCAAATTTTCTATTTTGATTACCAGTAGCTTCTTTTGTTGCTAGCTGCTATCTTTTTTCAAAAAGGGCAAGTTGTTGTAAAATGTGGGCTTGTGTTGCGCCTTCACAAACTGTGGGTTGATTCTGAAAAGATCAGATCCTATTACTGTGCAGCTACTGTCAGATTTACCAACTTGACCTTATCTCTCTGAATAGGATGGGCTTTGTCATTGCTAAGGAAAAAAATCTGCATTTGATTTTGAATGGAAATTCCATAGTGATTATTTCCTAAAATATATGCTCTGGTATAATGATTGCAATTGGTTTGTATCTACACTGTAGCTACTGTAGAGCTTCACCAAAGATATATTTTTGACACTTTTAATTGACTGTTCCTTACACAGCTAAAAATATGTATTTGACTGAAAGTATTTATGACATAAATACCTCAAAATTAAAAATAAAACAACATATTTATGGAAAGGTGTGTATGAAGCTTGAATTTCAAGGTATGCAAATATTGCGCCATCTAACTTACTGTTTCCAATGTAATAAAACTATAAATAATAACGCCTCATCTAACTATACTATGCTGCGAATGCTACTGGGTAAATGTAATTGAAATGTCAGACTTTATATGAGTTTGTGATGTAATATGTAACAGAACACATTAAATGAACAATCAATACAATAAAAATAGTTAATCAGAAAGTAATCTCAATCAACCAAAAGGATACATAAATCTTCTTTTGCTTGTGTGACACCATACACCCAAAAATAAAAAGGAAAAGAAAGACTGGAAATGTGTTTTAGAGGTAATCTCCTCACCTTGAGTGCCTCCTGGTCATGTTATTTTGTGATGTACATGCCTGAAAGACAAGTTCTGTGGTAAATGTCATCGATGACTTTGACAAACAGAAAAATCTGTAGTTAAAACTCACAGAAATAACCCGAAGAATATTGCTCTTGCATGTCACATCAGTTTGGAATAACAATTTACATGGAAAGTTAATGTGCTATTCTATCTAATTTCAGAATTTCTACATAGACACCACCAAGAAATTGTGCTCAGATCAAGATACTGCTGTTTTGGAATTGCAAGTTAATTGGCAAAATGATTTGGTGCATTGTGAGAATAAGGACATGACTGGGAAAGCTACGCTAGTGGAAACCGCTGTGACTAAAGGTCAGTTAAGCTTTATGGTTTGAGCTATTAATATAACAAAGCTTAACCCCAGCCCTAATGAAAATTTGTCATACAGGAGTATCTTGTGTGATTTCACTTGGAATCTGTGGCTTAGTCAAAGCGGGATGAAAAGGAAACTTTTCTGTTCTATCTCCGTAAATGCCATAAGGCAAATTCATCCAAGCTCTCAGCAGCAGCATGGCATTAAACTCTGTTTGACACTGCAGCATGAATATTCAGTGGTTTTAGCAACAGACGATTGGAAAACATGTGCTGTCCTTTTGCTTTAGAGTGATGCTTACACATAATCTGTTATTAAAAAAATAACTATCCCAAAATGTTTTAAGATGAGAAAGCCATTTACATTAATGATATGGAGATGCCTTTAACTCATATTTTTCTATTTTGAAGAACAAAATAATACTGAGCAAATTACTTGACCAATAATTATTTTTAAATTTTTTCTCTGTTTGTTTCTATTTCCCATAATTTTGATAGAATGGCTAGTTTTTCTACTTATCTTTCAAGTTTTTCCTTTTTTAGAAATGAACCATACTAAAGCTGAAAATTTAGATCATAAGAGGGCAAATCCAAATTTATTTTATATATTTCAACTTTGAAGTTAATATAAAAAAAATTATTTCATTAATCTCTTAGTCACAGGTTATATTTGAAATATGAAAAAATCACATTAATTACAACACTGGAACATTTTGAAGATTAAAGCACAAATATTCATCCTCTCAGCATTTTTTAACTGATAGTTGATATCAATAGAAGAACTTCTTATAAAGTTTCTTTTTCTTGTCATTCAGTGTATAAGACTCTTAAAAAGAATTGTCTATGAAACGATGTGTACTGAAACTTCTAAAAGATACATAAACCACTTTTCTGGAGAAGAATTACAGTGTAATTTTGAATATTCACTAATCCTTATTGCTGTGGAAATTGATTATTTGGGGACTGATTATTGGAAGTGATATGATTTAACCCCTGCCAGCAGCCAAGCCTCACACAGCTGCTTGCTCCCTCCCCCACCAGCAGGATGGGGGGGAGAATTGGTAGGGAAAAAGCCAGAAAAGTTGTGGGTTGAGATAAAGACAGGGAAAGCAAAAACCACTCACACAAAGGAAAACAAGAAATTAATTCAGGGCTTCCCGTGGGCAGGCAGGTGTTCAGCCATCTCCAGAACAGCAGGGCCTCATCTCGTGTAACAATGGTTTGGAAAGAAAAACTCGATCACTCCAAATGTCTCCTCCTTCTATCCCTTTGGTCATTTTGGGTCACCTGTCCGGACTGTGTCTCCTCCCAAACTCCAGTGCACCCCCAACTTCCCTTGCCAGCCATGGCAATATGAGAAGCAGAAAAGCCCTTGGCTCTGTGCAAGCCCAGCTCATATAAAAAAAAAAAAAAAAAAAAAAAAAAAAAAAAAAAAAAAAAGCCCTTGCACATTAAAAAAATCTTCATATTATCAACCCTGTGTTCAGCACAAATCCAAAACTGCCCTGTACTACTCACTGTGAATACAATTAATTCTGCCCCTGCCAAAACCAGCATGATATTTTGGTATCTGGCAGCTTTGAAATAAAATTCCAGATTTGTTATTTTGTGGCTTTGAAAAATCTCTTTTCAAGCTCTGTTTTGTCACTGTTTAATGACTTGATTAGAATTTATAGGGGTAAATGGTGAAGCTTACACGTCAGAAGGTACAAAGGACAGTATTCTCAGTTTAAATCCCACAAAATAAAAAGAATACCAACATAGCTTAATGTGGTACTCATTTTTTGTTAAGGGCATTTCCTGTAAATCACTGAGACTTGACTTTGAAAACCATTGTCCATGCTACAGGGATTAATTGGATCACTTGCCTGGGTTACTCTGTGGGGTGAGGCAGACATGGGAAACAAGGGGAACACACCTGAAGAAAATGTGACCTCTTAGATAATGTCTCTTTGAGGAAGAAAGCGGCCATAACATTTATGCTGAGGACTATCTTATTCACAAGCACAAAAATCAGTGCTTGAGTAGGTGCTTAACTCTATTGGCCTAGACTCCTCACAGACAGGAAACATCACATAGGCTAAAGTCCCAAAATAACTTTATGGTGAAAGGTCTTCAAATACTTTCTGAACACAGCTTCTCAGTTTGTGCAAAAAGTGAAGTCAGAGAGTCACTTCCTGTGTCTGTTACAGGAACTGTACAGCAGTTTCTAAACTGAGTTCCATTGGCTGAGAAAAGCAGTATGGAGTCATTGTTACTAAAGCTTCAGCTCAATAACAGGACTGGGAGGTCACTTGGTCTTTCCATTTTTCTACTGTGAAGGTATTTGTTACTGTTTGTGTTTCTTTTGTAACTGGGCACCACTGAGAAGTGTCTATCTCTATCTTCTTCCTACCTTCCCATCAGGTACTGATGCCCAGTGATAATATATTCCCAGAGCTTTCTCTTCACCAGGCTGAACAGTCCCAACCCTCTCAACCTCCCCTTCTATTTCTGATGCTTCAGGCACTTGATCGCCTTCGTGAGCCTCTGCTGGATTTGCTCCAGAACATCCATGTCCCTGTTGTACTAGGAGCCCAGATCTGGACCCAACACTCTAGGAGGGCTCTCACCAGTGTTGATCAGGGCAACAAGGATCTCTGCTGGTACCACTGCCTAATGCAGCCCAAGAGGTGTTGGACAACTGTGTCACAAGGACACATTGCTGGAGCATGGTCAGCTTGTCTTCCAGGACCCCAGTGTTTTCCTTGGCAAAGATGCTTTCCAGTCATTCCACCCCAAGCCTTGCATTTTCCTTCATTGAACTTCATGGAAGTCCTCTCTGCCCAGTTCTCCAGCCTGTTCAGGTGCCTTTGGATGGCAGCACAGCCATCTCAGCTGCTCCTCCCATCGCAAACTTACTAAGGAAATCTTGTTCCCATTGACTGCTCTATTAATGAATCATTGTGTCTGTAGCAGGCACCCAACACCATCACTCATATTGGTTTCTCCATTAAATCCTGACCCAGAAACTCTCAAGAGGCTCTTCACCTGTTCCTAGGCAGAGACCTGCCTCTGTTACCCATGGTACCAGCAAGATTTCTTCCTTCTCCTTCATGCTGCTAGTTAGCTCATGCTGTCCATGGTTCTGGACACCAGAAAACAGACTTGGACTTTTTGCAACAGTTCCAGGTTTGGACCTTCTATTAATCATGTTTCAGCACCATGGTGAAATGCTGAAATATCTCTGACTGTCCCATCTGCCCTGCTTGAAGTCTGCCCACCTTCTCTCCTTTTATTCACCCAGAGATAGTAGCATTAGTCTTTTGTCCACCTCATTAAACCTTATATATATGTCATTGATAAACCTTTTTCAGAATCTCAAAAAACACTTGATTTTTATTATGATTTTTTCAGTTTCTAGCACAAGTCTGCTTTTCTTAGCCAATTCTTTGTTTGCTTTTAATGCTGAAACAATCTAATTGAGAATAATGTTTTTTCTAGGCCTTTTTCGGGTTTGAAAATACCTTTTCTTGATTGTTCATGATCTATTTGCTTTGGCCTTTATTCCATCAAGATCCTAATATTTGCTGTGTCATCCCTTCTGAGAAAGCAGAGTTTACTTTTCTTCTGGTTGAGACCCATATATCAGTAGCCATGGTAGACTGATGACTTAACTCCTCCTGCTTCTAGTAGACATATTTTTTTTAAACTTTAGCTATCAGTCAGGCTTATTTTTTCCTATGTATTTCCGTGAGTTTATGACTGGAGACCTGTGCTTTGCAGGTAGCTTTGGGTGTATGACCAAGAGTATTAGAGAAAAAAATTGGTATTAGGGCTGCTGAAGGCTTGCATGAATCTGGTACTGCAAACATTTACAGCACTAACTCTTCCCATGTGTCTGAGTTCTTAGCCATGTATCTGATTCAAAAGCTCATCAGTCACAGGTCTCCCGCCTCATTTATCATGAAAATGGCAGTTAGTTCATTTGAAGTTAATCCTATTCACTCTTTTGTGAATAGCCTGCTTAGGCTATTCACGGAACACCAGGTAAAGGATAGCTTTTGTTACTGAGGATTCCAAAAAAACTCCTAGTACCTCTCTTAGTATGCACACAGAAAATCATTATGTAGCATTAAAATGATACTTCTTTTGCAAGACTAGGAAATTGCTTATTATTTAATCGCCTTGGAGTATATTCCTTTACCAACTCTGTCCAAATTGGAGTATAATGTGAGTTTGAGCTAGGCAGATGTAACCCAGTCCAAAGAACAGTGATGGATTGTACACTGACATACCCAAATCAAAGCTAAAGTTTTTTTTGAAAGTTGTATGTTAGTATAGTCCAAATTTATTTGGCTTGATTGAAAGATAATTGCAGAATTATACAGGAGAATGGATTAGATTATGGAACAATTCTTCCTGGCCAGCCAAGGAATCCCCATGGGTCCACTGCTGCGTGCAGCAAGCTTGCCTGTTCCAGAGGGTGTACTCTGCTCTGCTAATTCAAAAGATAATGGATTAGAAAATATGTCAAGACTAATAACACAGACACACTCCTGTAGGTTTTGAGTGGGAGGAAATGCACCATTCACTGACTAATCTTTAAACTTCTACTGATGAATGTTAAGCTACCCTTCAAAGCAACAACCTGTTTCAAATTCCTAATAAGGATGTCGAATCTGTACTTCCAAAAATCCCCCTAGTTACCGAAACAATTTCTATTTCTTACCAAAGGCCTGATAGTTCTGCAAAGAAAAACAGCATGGTTTTTTTCCTCCATTTTAAAGCCTCTGTTGTCTTTCTTTACAGAGTTCATGTTAATAAAGATAGGATTTATTATCCTTGTTTCTAAGAAATGGAACCTTCTTTCTCTGTTGCAATTAAACCTGAATAGGCCACTAAAGATATTATCTTATTTTCTTATATTTGAATGAGTTTGAATTAATTTAAAATGGTAGCAATATCTGCAGGATAATAACTCTCATCAGAAATCTGCTATATCAGTATTTCTTTATCCTTGAAATTTATTCTAAGTGAAGTTTCTATAACATTATATAATCTTGTTCATGGCATAGGTTTCTGAATAGTTACAGTCTGCAACAAAACAGTGTTTATGCTGATTTAGTCCATTGATGTCAGGATATTTTAGAGAAGGTATTTCTATATTCTGCTTTTGAATGCTTGATTTAGGAGGCTAGTGGGCTGGAGAAAGAAAAAGAGGGTTGGGCCTTCCATTTGTGCTTTAGGATGCACATATGTCTACTAAAATTTCAAAGATGGTTTAAGAAACTTCTGCCTCTGCAGGTTGCTGTCCCATTAGTGAAGACAATACACTTGACTACGGCACTGTGCTCTGAAAGAAATATTAAAATGAATTAAATATAACAACCCCAAAAACTTAAAGCAAAATGTAGAATTCTGAATTATTTTGGGAAAAAAAAAAAAAAAAAAGAAAAGCTGCTCTTTTTTTTGTGACATCACAGGGATTTTGTATTAGTGTTCTGAGCTCATATGGGAATAAGCATGGGAATAAGCAATATGAATTAGGAATCCTTTCTTGTATGTGTGTGCGACAACTCCCTTCAGCTTCCCCGCTCAGCTCAGTCTTCGATTAGGGAAAAACTGATATTAGATTCTTTGACACTCATGGTCTTGTAATTTTCTTTTTAAAAAAAAAGAAAATTAAAAAAATCTTGTGTTTTCATCTGTAAACACAGAATTTATCCTTGGCTGACACATCTTCTGAGGTAAGTTTTAAAAAAGGCAAGAAAATGACAAAAAATATGGGGATCATACCATTTTATAGGATGTGAGTACACTTTAGTAGATAATATTGAAATGTTTTCAATCAGCTTTGCTCTCAACCAAACTCTAACTTGTTTTACAGCAGGGAGAAGAGAGCACAGGCTGTGAATCCTTCTGATTTCACTGGTTTATCTGATATGACTTATTTTAATTATGGTAATATTCAGAGATTTCAGGCAGGAGCTTGGGTGGTAGCAAGGAGGAGGTATTGACAGCATTATATGTATTTAAACAAAAGGGTTCCTCATGTCAGTGCCCTTTCCCACTCTGGCACTGCTGCCTGGCTCTGCTCCCCCAGTCCTGTGCAGAGCAGCACTTGAATGTCTCTGATGGTGCCCTGAGCCCTGCTCTGTATCCTCTTGCAGAAACTTATGATGAGGCAAGAAATATGAGATTGTTTAAAACTTTTGGCAACCATTTCTCGTCTGCAAGAGCTGTTGTTACTCTGGGGATTTATTTTATATGAGGCAGTAGTGAAACTGTGGAAACTAGGTCTCAAAATATTCAATAAAACCAGAAAAACAGACCAGGAAAAAGACTGACAAAAAAAAAAAAAAAAAAAAAAAGTAAAAAATGTCAACAGTTGTCTATTTCAGGAAATGTAAGATTCTTTTAAAGAAATTCAGACTAATCTTTTCCAAACATTAGTTTAAGAGATTCCAGAGGAAGATAAATATTATTCATACATTAAATGCAACCCTACGGGATATGTGAAATATTTTGATTGTGGCACATAACAGTTTTTAAAGATATGCTACATCATCACATGAAGTAATGGTTGATGGATATCAGCTCAAGGAACAGTTCATTAGTTTTATGGGCTCTGATTCTTCTATCACTGATCGGCTTTCAGCAGCACTCCTTAAGGAATTAGTTTTGTTTAACACTGAGGAGCATCAGAACCAGGCTCACAGCAAATAAAATGCTGCTGCTCATAAAAATGCTTGGTTTATGCATATACCTTTGGTTCTGTGCACTTTCACTTAAGTGATGTGCAGAAATAAAGATGCGGTTCTACCATGTTGAGTTCATAGCATCATTATGCAGAATATTTCACAACTACTTTTTTCAAGTTAGGCATAAGTAGACAATAACTGCTGTGTGATTGAGTGATGATTCATGCATAGTTAAAACTGATCTGAAATATTTACCATAGCTATAAAACTATGTTATGGTCACACAGCTAGAGGCATTTAGGTGTGCAGAGTTGTACATGCATATGAGTTGGGGACTCTAGCTCTTGTTTCTTTCAAGCAAGGGTCTTGGTGTGTTGGGTCACTTCTGTTGCCTACCTTTTGAAGAAGGGCAAAATGAAGACTTATGACAACCATTTCTGACCTTGGAATTTGTGAAAAACAGCAAGCATATTCCGAGAAAAAGCCAATATATCCTACTCACTCAAAGATACAAGTGAAATTAATGGAAATTTTTAGTCTGCAGGACACTAGCCTTCCACTATAAAGGCAAATATAATTACACAAATTGTTCCAGGAAGAGCAGAATTAATGAAATTTTATTTAATAAGTATTCAGGACTGTTGTCCCCTACTGCTCCTCTCTGTCTTTCCTGATAATAACTAAAAGTCTCCTAGCAGTGTTCCTATCAAAAGAAAAAGAGCAGGTCTGGAGCTATGTGTGTGTTGAGTGGCCAACCAATATGCACACACTGATTTATCCTGCTGTCTGCTGCCAAATGGAGTGGATAACAGCTGTGTTCTGCATGCTTCTCTTTCAATAGAGGAACTAATTCAACTCAAGCTTTAGTAACCACTGTGAGACTTCTGTCCTCTTTTCAAATCTGACTGAAATTGGCAGAAATAAACTTGTAAAAGTACTGAAGAGATTGATGGATGGATGGACAGCAGGATGACATAAGCCTTGTTTTCTTGGCAGGCTGAGATGGCCTATCTAATTCAGTAATTCAGTGTTGAGGCTAATAGATTTTTTTTTAAAACTGAAGAAAATTGCATTGATTTCAGTGTTCAGAATCCCCCTTGGACTGTTCAGCTTGTCTCATTCACTGCTTAATGCTTCATTGAAGTGTAAATATATACATTTCAGAAGGAACTGTGAAGAGGTTTGGGACTGGGGACAGCTGTGATTTAGTCTGGCCTGATGACATCAACGTTCTTTCTCCTTGAGCTGTCTTGCTTAGAAGTGCATTAATTTGTTTACATGTGTTTGGGAAAGAAGAAAGCCTGGCTATGCCATCCGTGAGCAATCTGTACCTTACATCCGTATTAGCAAGTCTAAGTGCACAAACAATATTTCCCTTGCTGAATCACAGGGATTAGCTTATTCTTTCAGTGCCTGTTTTATTCATTAGTTTGCTTTTACTGATATCAAGCGCAGCCAAATTGCAAATTAACTACAAACCAGGAAATGTTTAACAAGATACTGGCCACATGTGAGATATTCCATGCATTTCTAATTATAAGTTTGGGGTTTTGTTTTGGGATTCTTTTTCCTTTTGATGCCTAGATCTGGAAACACTTTGGTAATTCAGCAGTGGGGGACTCGTGGCTATATAGGTCTGTGATAAACTCTGTGCTGGTGTAGCCAGACAGATACTTGCTTAACCTTGTATTTATTTCCAGCCATAGAAAACCTATAAAGGAAAGAATCACACCTTCAGAAAGGATCACACCTTCAGTTCTCAGGGAGAGACACCTCAGTCCTGAAGAGTCTCAGAGGAACACAAGTTGGATTTGGAGACTGCTAAGAAATCATAGTTATCCTCTTGTTGAAGGTGGTTGAAAGTGTAAGACTGGGAAGAGTCTTATTTGAGAAGTTTGGTTTCATTAAGAAGAACCTGTTTGACAAACATGGCTTGCTGGGAGGTCAGATAGTACACTATGATAGGCTGTATCAGGCTGTACCCTAGAAAATTAATCAACCAGCTGTACCCACAACAGTGTTGCACACTGGTTTGCAATTTCAAGTGAAAATTTTGGCTTTAAAAATACAGTATCCTCTCAGCTCCGAGACCCATGAGACTTTCTGATAAACTCTAAGGATGATTTGCCTTGGCAGGAAATCTGTGATGATATCACCACTATCATCTCAGCTCTAGCTGCTCCTATTGCCACCTGGCTCTTGCCCACCACAGGCTGGGCTAAGGGATGGGGTGGCTCCGAGGGGTGAAATGGGGCACTCATGGACCGATCCTTACGGAGTTTAGTTCCATGAGTTCAGTGGTCCCACATGTCTGCCAGAGCTTCCTCTAGCCTTGAGGAAGTGGTGAATCACCCGAGCAGGGGATGAGACCCTGGGGCCTCCTGGCAGCAGCCAGAGTCACTGTGACCTGCAAAGTGAAGCTGTTACAGTACCCAGATGCAGAGTAGAGGCCACCACAGTGCTGGAGCCACTAAGAGGCCTCCAGTGAGGATATCTGCTCTTGTGGGAAAACATTGCTTCTTTCTGAAAAGTTTGTCCACACGGCTGCCTCAGGCCAGTCTAGGTGGATGTAAAGAAATGTACCTCAAAACCTTTCATTTTAACCTCATGCCATTCTCAACCCCATGTCTCTATTATATCACCTAAATCACCTGCATCACCTGCTTCTAAATAAGAAGCAGTTGTGGGGTTCTGGCTCTAGGAAATCCCAAGGTAACACCGTGGTTCCCCAGCTGCAGAGCTCCTCTTGTCAGGCAATGAGACACAAAAGCAGAGGAGCACATCTGTGGTAAGGATGGTACTCATGGCAGATGGACTGCTCTTCTCTATATATGGTCAGATAATTTTTTCTTCCTGCTTTTATGCTGTTAGTGATTACACCAGCTAAACTTTTCAATAAACTTGAAAGTTATTAATGCATAGATAGCAGGCAGTGGTCGACTTAGAGGTATAAGTCTATGCAAAAACTGAAATAGGAATTCTTGAGTGAAGAAATTCTTATAAAGTGCTCAGCTAATTTTCCCTCTTGTTTCATCACAGATACTGTTCAGGAAACTAAGCAAGTAATTTAGGATCTCTGAAAAATATGAAAGTGAAGAGAACATTATTTTCTTTGCTTTTATGGCTGTCTTTGTGAATTGTAAAATTTTTCTTTTCCAGGCCAAGGGCAGAGCCTCCCATTTCCTTAGAGTTATTTTTTGCTGATTTTTCAGACCTAGCAAGAAACTGTGAGGCAGAAGAGGAAGAGGAAGAAGAGCATGACTACAGCTATATTGATGAAAACATAATTGAAAACATAAGAAAAGTATTTCATGGCACCAGAAATGAGCATACACTCTCCAAAGGAAGAAGGTAAGCTGGGATCACTTGTGGATACAAACAAGTGCAAGCAGAGTGATTTTTCAGACTGGCTAGTAACCTTCACTTCCCCAAATAAGAGAGGTTTTCCCCTGGGAACTTCCACTGTTGCTGCAAATGTCCTGTGAGTAAGGCAGAAAAGGCTCCTCTGAGCTGCCACCTGTGACCTCTTAGCCATGTCAACTTTATTAAAGAAGTACCTATCATTGTTCTGGGAATAGAAGACCTTTTTTCTGGTTTGTGCCAATTTGCTCTGAAATTATAGTGCTCTGAATGCAGCTCTTTCTCTGTTTCTGAAAAGTGGACGCCTTGTTGTGCATGACTGTTTTGATGCTTTAATAGCTTTCAGGCATTATCTGTGCTTTCATGAAATCTGCAATGTTCTGCTCTGGCAGTCTGTAGTGACATTAAGTGCCAGTGAAGAGGGCCTTTATTTCTAAAAATCTCTAGGTGTCATTTCCAGCTAAACACAGATGAGAATTTTTCTAGATATGAGTGAAACTGTGGTGGCAGTTCTTTTCACTCATAGCTGAACTTTCTATGAATTTCACTTGGCTTGGCTGAATTGTTTCTTTGTGACGAGAAATCCTTGAAAACACAGGAAAAAATTGAAATACCGTGTTTTGGAGATTTAATATGAAGTATTTAACTTCAAAATGTACTTTGTATTTATTTTTAAATCATGTGCAACATTCATACTATGTTTAAGTTAAGCAACATAGTGAATATGAAGTAGGCTGGGGTTTTTTCTGCAATACTCAAAACACTCAGAAAAATGACATCCAGGGCAGTGTGTGGCTATGTCTCCCTCTGCTAACAGACACAGAGACTCCAAAGTTACAGAAAAGACTAAGAACGAAATGAAGTAGGATGTTTCAAATAACACATTTCTTCCTCAGTCCACATGCTATTGAGGTTCTATCATGTAAAGAAGCTGAGAAAGAGAATTAATCTCTCTTCTGACTAAAATATCCCTTCTGACCATAGGCATTAAGGGGAAAAGCATACTTTCAAGAAGCAACACCAGCCTTGAGGATCAGCATCTGTTCATAGCACTTACTGTTGTGGCATCAGTTCTTCAAAGTCTTTATCCACCTGCCCTTTAAATTCCCTGTGAATGGAAGCAAAGTTTGACTTTATTAGCTGTCTTCTTTAGGATTACTAGCAAAACATGAAAGAAAAGGACCTTTGTTGCCTTGAGGGAGACCACTCTCTTTGGATAATCTTTGGTTTATAAAGCAATCCCAAAAATTTTTGTCCTTAATGGCTGACTCTCTGAAATCCACTCTCTGAAATCATTAGCTAGCCAAGGAGCATGTGGCTCCTTCAGCCTCCTGGTCTGCCCCAGCCATCAGAAATCTGTGCTATGGCTCTTTTCTAGTACATAAAGTTTCTATCAAGATTCCACACATGCACTTGTGAGCATTTTGGGAAATAAGGATTTGACGTGGGCATATGCAATTAATCCTTAATACAGGCAAAAGTCCAAAAAAATATGTAGATAAAATAGCCAAATTGGCTGATTTAAACTTATATAGAGGACAATAATGCACCAAAATATGTTGTCTCTTTCTATAAAATGTGTCAAATACCTAATATCTGACCATGATAGTTCTTGAAGAATTCATCAGTTAACCATTTCCCACCTATAGTGCCTCCTTTCCTCAGGACATTTATGACATTTATTACTATCTACTTTTAATTATTTGGTATATATGATTTATCAAAATCAAGTCTATTGGTCTAAATGAATTTTAAATAGAATTGTTAGGAGGAAGGATAGTTTTGATGAAATACGGAAGTAAACCTCAGCAGTTAAAAAAAAAATCAGTATATATTATTTGCAGTCTTTCAGCAGCATCTCTCCCAAAATCTTTCCATGATCAGGGCTAGCATGCCAGGGTGATATTAGTAGAAAGTTAGTCCCTAAGTCTCCCTCTGTCCTAAGCAGGAGAGAGAAATAAAGAACAGAGAGTTGCCTCAGGACATTGCTATGTTAATTTTGATAGAATAAATGTGCCCAGAGGGTCAATGATGTTAACATGACCTCATCACTCCAGAACAACAAGCAATTAAGCAAGAGACTTCACTACAGATGCCTGAGCTTGCTATAGCAACGACGATTATTAACATATTTTAACCTTTCATTAAATATTCAAGAGAAAATAAGAAAAAAAAATCCCACACCACCCTGGAAGCATTTAAAATGTGTGGCTTTCTTTTCAGCATGACAAATGTCTCTCCTTTTACAACTCAGCCATGAGTTGTTTCTTCTTTTTTAAGGAGGAAAGCTCTCGACAGTCTTTTGGACATTATTACAAATATCAACAGTGGCTTTTTTTTGGTGTAAGAAAATGGGAAGATAGAAGGTCCATTGCAACCACTGAATTGGAATAACTCTGATGCTGCTGTAATGTCTCCTCCTATGGACCTGACACCAAAAATGAGATAGAGGCATGCAGGAACAGGAACAGTAACAACCACAAAAAAATCAGCAACAAAACCAGTGAAAGGCAGAGTCTGTCTCCAGTGTTGATAGCTGCATGGCTGGAAAAGGACAGAAACAATGTGGTCCAGACACCTGGAGAGCTGAAAATGAGTACTGCTGTCAGGCTGTTTCAGGAGGTTGCTTTCTGAACTTGAACTGCCCACAAGTGCCAGAAAAGGAATTGTCTCAGCTGACTAAGCTTCTGTGCTTATTAAATAGGACACAAAATAAGGAAAAGTAGAAAAGAGTGAGAAATGCAGTAAGGAATGAAAAAGCTACACAGCTGTGTTTTCCTGTTCCCATGAACTCAACAGCTGAGGTGGTTTTGTTTAGACAAAATAGGTTTTTTTATTTTCAATTTGTACCAATTTTTTAAAACAAATTGTATGAAACAGATTAAGGTGCAATTTTTTTCTTTTTTTTTTTTACCTTGGTTATGCTGAGATTCATATTTGAAACCGAAAGACAGTGCTACAAATGAAAATTGCCCTTTCTGACCCAAGTACATCTTGATTAATCCTTTTTTACTGTTTTTCTAGGACATTTCTCTGGAGCTGTCATGTCACTGACCCTCTGAGCAAGCTGTTTCTGTCATAAAAAAGCCACTACATGAAGGGTTGAGGCAGAATTTGTAGCCTTGGGTATATTGGAGTGAGGAACCCAAATCCATGGCTGTAGTTGTGTTCTCTCGGCAGTTTTGAAAGTCCCCTTCTTAAGTAACTTTCAATGCAGATTTATGGGCATCACCTAGCTTGCTAATTTTCATGGCTAGATAATTTTTCAGCTGCCTGCTGTTTTCACTTTTCTCTAATATGAGAAGTGAAGCTTTTTTCCAGGTTGCAATCAATGGTGATTACAGAGAGAAGAAAGAGTCAGGAGAGGTCAAATAAGGAGTGTGTTGCTCTAAGAGCTTCAAATCTTAGTTTTGACTCAGGCAGGACTTCAAAGGACCTGTCCCAAAGCAGCTGAAGGTTCAGAGACCCTTAGGGCAGGGAAGACTACCATGATTATCTAGGTGTTCTACATGTTCTTCCTTCTCAAACAAGTCCTACCATTCCCCCACAGGGTATGTTGAAACACGTTTTTATAGTTGGCAGAGCTGGGAATACAGCCCACTGGTGAAATCTGGCACACTGGCATATTGCCATTAAATATTAATTAAATTATTAATTAACTTCCCTCCAGGCCTGTAGCTCTGTTGCATCAGTCACAGGGCACATCCTTTGGAAAGCCTCTCCCCAAGTCTCTTCTACTATGTCTGCCAGACCAGAATATGACACAGGTGACACCATGGTTGTAATCACACTGGAGATACACTAGGAAAACTTTTTGATGGAGTCACAGTTTATACTGACTAAATGAGCTCTTTTGCTTGGTGAAGGTTAAATATTTCCCTAAACTGCACAAGCTATACCAGTAAAAGAAAAATGTACTGGTTAGAGTTTCACATACCTAAGCAAAGTTGCTGGCATAGCTGTATTGGAGTCGTATATTAGCTTTATTTTTGTTGTAGTCTTTGGATTGCTGTGTAATTGCACTGACAAACCATTTCATGGCACAGACAAGCCCTAACTCGCAGCCATTAATTTGTCTCAAGAGCTCATTCACCTGTACTCCCTGTGCAATTTTTAAATCCAAATATAAAATTTCCTGTTTCACCCTGTCATTATGTTTTGTTTGTTTTCAGAGACATCTGAAGGAAAATAATTCTGAAATTAACTGGAAACAAGTAGGAAACTGTGTCCTTCACACATCAAGATTGACCACAACTGTAAGAAAAAGCTGCTCGTGAAAGTGTCCTTCTTGACTCATGGAGAGCATACAAGGCTGTAATTTAGCTATAATAATCCCCTGTGAAACTAAACTGCTTACTTGTCCTAAATAAGAAGTCAAACCAGCTAATGTCTCATGACCCTTTGAAGGGACAAAGCTCTTCTGTACATATTTATTAGTGAATTCAGAGAATGATGCCAAGTCCAATCCTTCATTCTTACTGCGCCTGAAATTCCAGTTATTTCCTGAACTTCTGTAGGGCATATGCAAAAGGAAATCCCTTACTGAAACAGCTGCATGGTTGCTTCCTTTGGGTTTTGGTTTTTTGTTGTTTTTCTTTTTGAGAAGGAAAGTGTAATGAAGGATTATCTAAGGTGGACATTCATTTCTTTAGCCAGTTTTACGTGCTTCAGGTTAAGGCTCAAACTGGAAATGACCAGATTCGGTCACTTTTTCACATGATGAAAAAAGCACAAGTCGTACCATTGCACAACATGTAATTTGTCCTGGAAGGCAAAGTCACTCCTCTCACAAGGCCTGGGAGTGCCTAAATTGTGTAGCACTGCCATCTTTATAACCCTTTCTACTGCTAATATCCAGAATCACACTAAAGTTATTATATTCAGCAATTTGCTGAAACTGCAGTCACGAAGAATTCGTGTCCATACCATCCCTATCCACCCAGGATAGTTGCATAACCCTCTGGCAATAATTTGACTTCCAGGGAAAAATATCAACCATCCCTATCCACCTAGGATAAGTTGCATAACCCTCTGGCAGTAATTTGACTTCTAGGGAAAAATATTAAGAACTGATATCTAAACACATAGTTGATGTGCCAGGGATTCCCAGAGTCAACAGCAGCTTGATCAGAGTGGGATATCCAGAAATCAGCAGGGTGGAGAAAGGGAATGTGTTTAGAAAGCCTGGACATACCCTATTTCTGCTTCTACTGGGTAGTTAAAAAGCAGAAACTCCAAAAAAGCCTTAGTATACCTTAAAGCAAAAGTCTTTTCAAGTAGACAGTAAAGTGTCTTCAGACTTGTCTATTAACATTCTACTGAATGATTAATTTTCACTAATGCAAATTAATTTAGGATTTCTTAATATTGTCTCACATTAATTTATTCAAGATAAATGTTCATCCTCGTTAAAATCAGTTACAATTTAAGTATTAATAATATTGCTTAGAGTACTTTGATTTCATGCATATGTAGCATACAATGTTTTGCATATCTGGTTAATATGGCTTGCAGGTGTGTACAAAAGTGGCTGTCATATCACTTGTGGGTATTTTAAATACATATCAAGCATTTAAAAAAAAATCTGTATGTCTCTTTTGGCAGCTCAAAACAGTCCCATTTGTTTCAGCAGACTGGTATTTGAATAAAAGGGGTTTTTTTATAGTCTACTGATTTTTTTTCTTTTTTTTTTTTTTTTTTAACCTTACTACTGAATGTGATGTCATCTGCTGGATTTCTGAAAGTTATGATATGTTACTACCATGATTTCCTTCAGTAAAGTACCAGGTATCGATAGAAGAAAGGAGGAGAGGAAAGCCAACAACCTTCTGGGCTGTGGTGCCAGGATGTGCCAGCAGGTAGAGGGAGGTCATTCTTCTCTCTGTTCAGCACTGGTGAGGCTACATCTGGACTGCTGTGTCAGTTCTGGGCTCCCTGGTGCAAGAAAGATGCAGACATATTGCAGTGAGTCCTACAAAAGCCCATGAGGATGGGCTTGAGGACGTGGAGATTCTGGCATACAAGGAGAGACTGAGATAGCCTAGAAAAAACAAGGTGTCCTCTAGTTGCTGTAAGTGTTAGGATGGGTGCGAACAAAGTGGGTGCAGTAACTTTCCCAACAAACATAAGATTCTTTCAGATATTCTAAATTGGCATTTGGGATCTAGTGAAAAAACCCAAAGGCTTATCAGCCCTTTCTGGAAATTCTTATCTTTAAAATGCTTCCAAAGAAGCAATTTCTCTTCTTTGTATAGATCTTCTCATATAAGGAGCCTGGTTCTGTCACCCTTGTCATGTGATGCAATTCTGTCTTGTGTATTCAGCCTCACTGAATTGAATGAGTTTCAGTCTTCTGAGTAAAAGGTGGCAGTTTAATGAACTCTGTAAATATATAAGTAGCAGAGATGTTTCCCGCATCTTTTCCTCAGGCACATGAGCCAACATCATGTCCTATGACAGAAATGGGAACTATCCTGGCTGTTCAGTTTACATGACACAGTGGGAAAATGCCATTTGCATTCAGTTCTGGATGGAAGAGAGAACATGGTGCTCTCTTGTTCTGTGAAGAAAGGATATCCAATCTTGCTGGGGAAAGCAGAGGGGAAGAAGGAAGCATGAAGTAAGATCCTAATAAAAGGTTTGTGTTCAATATTAAAGACCTAATAAGTATTGTGGCTCCCTTATGGCATACAGATGACCACAGTGATTTCATACTGTTTGCTAATATGTGTTTGACAAAGCTATAATGTCATGGCAATCCTTGAGGGACGCAGTTATCACTCCTGGACATTAATGCTCAAGAAGACTGCATTCAGGAAGGGAAAGCCATATTTAGCTGAACACAGACCACAATTGCTATGCCTGAAGAGAATACAAGTGTATTTAAATAATAAGATATTTGCTTTGCAAAAGATTGGCATAAGCTTTTGCACAGACTTGTTAGCTTAAAGGCTTTATCTCTTTTAATGCTAAGAAGTGTTTCCAGTGAGTTCTCACTGAGGACCTGATCAGAAGCAGCTGTTTCCACAGCACTCCATGTGTGCATAAGCCCTTAGTGAGACAGAATTTTCTGTTTGGATGATCAACATGCACATTTTTGTATATATCCAGTCTTTGTGCCCGGGAAGATAAGAAGAATCTTCTCCCTGCATTATTCTTTAAACTCCAAAACTCTTTTGTTTACATGACACGTCACAGGAACACTTATCTACCACAATGCTCCCAATATGAAACCACTATTTATTCACTTAACGCATATGATATCTTTCGTACCCCTTCTAAGACTGTCCAGGTCTTTTCCTTACATTTTTAGACTTTGATGCACCTTTACCATGTAAATTTTCAACTTCCTGAAACCATGTTAAAATTCTCTCTAAAGAGAATGTTCTCTTGCTTCTACTTCATGTATTAGTGGCAGGTTTTGCTGTTTGTTTATTTTTTAATTTTCCTCCCTTGTTTTCTTAATGTATACATGTGCTGGGAGTATTCTTGTGCTTCACAATAATAAATCTCTTTGATAAACTTACTCTGTATCTCTTCATGGGTTTTTTGTATTTTCTAAGATAACCTTTCACAACTCTTTTCTCTGGGACTGATAAACCATGTGGGCTTGATCTAAGTGCAGACTGCCAGCTGCTGGCAGGCTGAGTATAAGGAGGGATAACCCTGCCTTTGCCTTGCTTTTGCTGCTCTTGCCCCAGTCCACTGCTTCCATCTCTGTCCAGAGCAGGGGTACCAGGATGGATAGCTCAGTCTGACCATTTTAATTTTCTCATGTAACTTTAAATGCCTCATATTTGTTAACATTTGGGTGTATGTGAAAACAGTTGTAAGATGTGTCAAGGGGATGATTCCACCAGGATCTAAGAAATGCATGTACATCCATGTACCTTATCCTCGTGTCTCTGTGACATTGTCCCTGAGGCTATAGACGTAGCAATGTTGGCAAACAGAGGCTCAGGCCAGCCTCAGAAAGCAGTACCTCTTCCCAGGGCAGTCTCAGATGTTATGATCTTCCTTTCTTGCAAATATACCACCCTTCTGTAATTCCTCTGGTCTTCAGGGTGCAGAGGAAGGATCTGAGCAGGGCTCAGGGTTGCCCCACATTAGGGCACTGCAGCTACTTTGTCAGCAAAAAGACTATTTTCCTTTTTCCCTCTTATTTCTGTTGCCTGCTCTCTTAGGTTCAGTGATCACATCTGTTAGTATTTTGGGACCTAATGTCACACAAAAGGAGAGATAGAAAGAGCCGTTTTTTCTGAAATGACTTTACTAGTCCAGAAGCTTAGTTTATACTGCCACTATCTGTCCACCATACCTGCTGCAGTCCTTTGCTGCAAACACACACACAAACAGCTCATGCAAATTTTCACACAGCTACAAACAGGTTTCAGAAGGAAGTGAGGGATATTAAGGATTTTATTTTATTGTTCTTTCTGTCCTGGAGAGTTTGATTAGGCATTCATCAGTTAAAAACAATTTTTAAATTATCGTGTTTTTTCTAGACGCATTTTAAGTAGGTATAAAGGTCTTCTAACAAATCTTTACATTAATCTGCCTCCATTCCTCATCCTCTAAACCCCATTTTGAGCCACTGTAAATGCTTCCCAACTGAGCAGCCCTTTCCAGCTGGTACAGTTAGGCAGGTCTGCAGCCCCAGGCTCCTAGGGATCCTTGACAGCCCCTGCCTGCGGCAGTTTGTGCCATGCACATTGTTCTCCAAATACCTCATGGCCATTGTGTCTCATTGTAAAAAATAGAATTAAATCCAAAATGAGCTTAGACTCAAATCTACAAGCATATTCATATTTTTAAATGATATCAAAACCAGAGAGGCAATGTGCTCCTCCTGAGGTTACTGAGGTTAGGGTGATGGAAATGTTATAATAGGCCTCCATCATCTTGAATCTTACTGTCTCTGGTAGAAGGAACTGAAGGTCCACAGCCTCCAACACCCTGCTGAGAGGGGTAGATAAAATGCCTTGGTCAGAGAAAGTAACTGAACAATTTGGGTTTGAGAAATGCAGAGGGTTTTTTAATGTTGTGCACAACAGTTAAAATACTTTTATTAGGTTAGTTTTGTGTCTGTCTGTCAAAGTCCAAATCTACATCTTCTGCTTCTTTGTAAAAACTCCTACCTGCCATATTAGAGGCTGCCTTGGGCAAGAATGCTCTTCCCTCCACACTTGCCAGGTGTGATTTTTCCCACCAGAAAAAAAAGTATTTTATTATTCATTAGAGAGCGTAGGCTGGAAAGGAACGCCCAATTCTCCACAGATTAGGATCATAGGGAAGGGAAAACCTAGAAGTCCAATTCCTACTTGAAAGAAAAAAATAGTTTTTTGGCATCTTTACTAATGACTACCTTGGGTGTTTGCCCTGTAAGTTCCATGTCTTGATGCCTAAGAAAGATAAAGAAGCGCCTGCTGACGTCTGTCTGCTGTTCTGTGAAGATGCACGTACCTTTCCTAGAGATGGACAAGGTTGCCATTGTGGAAGAATATGTGGAGAGGTCAGCCCCTACATATTTCTGTGATGTAAATTTAGGACAGTATTTGGTAAGGCACAGCAGCTGTATGCCCAGTTGCAGTTATGTGGACAAGAACCTCACCTCTGACCATTCCTCAGAAATATGATCACTCCTGTAGCAAAGACATGGAAAACTGAACAGTGCTCAGAAATAAGAAGCTGACCTGCCTGAAATGAGCTGTGGAGAAGGGACTGCACAGTATTCAGCACTATTGCCCAAGTTTTGAGGACAGACAGGCTATTTTCTGGTGTGTTTTTATTTTCTCAAGTTCTTCCTCTACCACATTTAATTTCTAAACTTCCCTTCTTCACCCCCAGATACTGTTTGTTCCAATCTCCTTAGGCTTGCTATTTGCAAGTGTGTACAGAAGTTTAATCCCCTTTCTTTCTGAAGCCATTTGTGGATTTGCTTTTTTTAAACACCACCTCTGTCAAATAGGAAGTAGCCCTGCTTAATGCCAGGCATTCCTCAGTAGAGAGACCACTTGTGTAAAAGGCACGAGAGCAGAGCAGCAAAACCCAGGCTAATGCTGAGCTGGAAAAACCCTTATGCTTTGTGAGTCCTTCTCACTGGGAATCCTGCTTAGATTTTTTAGCTCTTATTATCAAGCAGTCTCCTTCAATGCCTTTCCCTCTGTTTAGTTTCTGATACTCAGAAGTTTTCCTGCAAGTATGCATCTATTCTATTTAAAGATAACTGGCTCTTCTCTACTTGTAGGAAACCCCCATCCCATATTTTACCTAAACTTTTATACATTCCTCAGCTTCCAAAGAACAATCACTGGCCAATTTTCTAACCTGACTGGTTGTATTGTTGGATTAGTTGCATCATACATGCAAGTGTATGATATGCATAAATACTTGATGCTGTATTAAGAAAGATGACTCTTTTTCAAAATTCTGAACTATTTCCTAATGTTCCATAAATTCAGGAAAGGAGTAATTCGCTTTTTAAAAATGTGTTTTATAAATACTCCCTCAAGTGCAGCAGTGTGCGATTTAAAAGTTTGTATTAATGGTTCTTTTTGTTTTCTCAAAGTGTATCTTAAGTTAAATCTAAGTTAACCACGGAAAAGGTCAAAAAACTTTTCTGGCTCACAACTAACTTAATATTTTAGCAGCTGGCAGCTGTGGTGATTACTTTTGGATTATATCTAAAGTGTGCTGGAATCTAATTACTGTGATCTATGAACCAGGTAATTAAGGTAAAAACTCCCACATTTTCTTACACCTCATTAATGGATTTCCTTTGAAAATTTTTAGCTAATGATGGTACATTAAGAGTTTATCCATTACATGACAATGAATAATTAACACCTTTGTCCTGGGACATTAAAGGACAGAATGGTGTTTAACTGCTCAATGTGATGATAATTATTTCATAATTTACAGTGTAAATATCATGCAAATTTGGGAAGAAACTGGGAAAATGGAGTAGAAAGAAATTATTTATTTTCATAGAATTGCAGAAGGGTTTGGATTGGAAGGGACCTTAAAGATCATCTAGTTCCAAGCCCACTGCTGTAGGCAAAGACATCTTTCATTAATTTCCTTCTTTCCCAAGAAATTTCAAGCCCTGTCTGCATGCAGGGCCCCTGACTCACCTGCCCATAACCTCTGTTTTCAAGTTATAACTGATTCCAAATGTGTGCTATCACCCCAAAGACTAGGATCAATACTTCGGTCTGAGTGTTCCAGGCACTGGGAGTGCAAACATTGCAAATACAGTAACCAAATCAAACATATAACACACTGCAACAAGTGGATTAGGCATGGGGGAATGGGAAAGCAACCTGTGGTTATACGGCGTACACAATCACATAAATTCATATATAGATCAAAGTTTTCTTGAAGCAAGTGAAATGAATCCAGTACAAGAAATCTCTGTTGTCATGTAAAGGCTGATACAGAGTTAATTTACTTCAGGACTGCTCTGGACTAGCTCTGCTGTACCATGTGAGGCATGTACTTGTTGCAAAACAGCATAGCAAGGGAATCTATCTGTACTCAAGTACCTAATCTGAAAAGCGTGAAAGCTTCCAGTTTGATTGTAGCTGCTCTGCGAAATAACAGCTTTGGTGGGAAACAGTCAAGGCATTGCATTTGGATCATAACTTCGAAAAAAAGTTTCTCATGATCATCTGTTAGACCATTAAGTAATTACAGATCTAGGGGAATCCCTGCCGACAGGGGAAGAAAACCAGTCTGAAACAGAATATATTTTGCCTGCTTTTAATTTTGTCTCCAATACATTATTTATAAAGCCACAAAAAGTAGTAAAATAAGATTTTTCTGTGATGTTTTTTATTTATAAGAAATTGAGTTTAAAAAAATGAGATAATTAGGAAAATTAAGGTTAAAAATATCGATTCCATATGAGAGAGAGACACACATGGCTACTCAGGAAATCGTGCTGTAAGAAATTACCCAAGGCCAGATTACCAGAAATATGTCTGCTAAAAGATTAACTCAATCTGCCTTGCAACCGCTCTTTCTCGAGGAACTGGGAACTTTCAAATCATCTCCTTCCAAATAATTCTAAATTTCTACTAGGTCAAGTAGTTCGAACTTCTGGCTTGAAGTCAACCTTTCGATCAGTTCTCGGCCAATTTTTCTTCCTGCTTCGGTGGACATAGCCTTCTGCCAGAGCTTCAGCAGCAATCCTCCTTGGAAAGAAACACATGGCATTGGCAATTAGCAGGGAGCGCATGGAGCTCGCGGTACACTGGGGCCCAACGAGCGCTCAACACTTCCCTGGGGACAGAGAAATGTAGACAAAGCTGGAGCTTGCCGATGGGCTCATAATTGCCTACAAATATGCAGGGAGACATAAACCATTCATTCAGCTCAGGAGCCTTTGATTTGACAGACAGTGGGGCTTGTTGCCTTGTCACCAGCGCTGTAGGTCGAAATGATTGAAGACTTATGGGAAGGTCTTTGTCTGCTCTGGCACGCAGCTCTGTGGTTTATGGAGCAGTAGCCTGGGAGTTATAATCA